CAGCAGAACCGAGGCCCACAGAGATGAAGGTCACACGGGGAGCCAGGAATAGTGCTGCTCTAACCACTAGATTACACTCCTTCCCCAGAATCAGGAGTCCAGGAGCCCTCTCTCTTACTAGCCACTAGACCCCACTCCCCCCCAGAGCTAGGAATAGAGGCTGGCTTCCCCAGGCCCGGCTCTAACCACTAGATCACCCTTCCTCCTACAGACTGGTGTTGAGCAACTTCTGCCTTCTATTTTAAAACGACATTTGGATAGAACAGGACACAGAGCAGCTCCCATTACAGTCATTCAGTCCAAAGATCCTGTTAATTCTTAAGACACCACCTGGAAAGGGAAGGCAAAGGATCCACTTTAGGGCTGGTCGCTTGAAGAATTTCCAACCCAGGGACGTTAGATCTTCCAAAGTTCCTTTCCCCCCAGAGATATTTAAACCTGGTTCCGACAGCAAATAGTTGATAGTGAACAGCTCGGTTTAGAGTGGAGGATCAAGGATACACTTCTTAGCTAACACACCACTGCCCTCCTATGGTCACTAAGCCTCTTTACAAGGGGACTAGAAATTATGCCTGTCAGATTACAATCCAGAGATTCAAGACACTGGTTTCATTTGCCAGCCGTGAAATTTCTACCAAGGGTCTCCAGAACCAAGTGTGTTTTTAAATCTCCTTCTTGGAAACAATCCTCTCTTGGTGCAAACACACACGATTTGTTCTTTACATTTCTGAATCTGAAACTCCTTCGGGTGGGGGGAAAAACCCCAAATCCGTTCCCAACGGACACAAGCGATGTCCATAAATTTGCAATTCTTATGCAGAAATTAATAGCATCTGAATTATGGTAGCACCTAAAAACATCAGATCAAGGCCCCATTGCTCCAGGTGTGGCATAGACAGAGTGAGAGACAGTCCCTGCCCCCAAAGAGCTTGCAATCTGAATCGGTGCCTCTCAACTTTTTCCAGGCCATGACCTGCATACAGGGATCCCTCCCCCATTGCATGTAGCAGCATGGTAAGGGTTGGGATCCCCTCACAGAACAAGGGAATCTCGAATAGGAGCAGAGAGGTTAATTTACCTATTTGGCCCTGGTGTGACCGCTGCGGGAATCCTGTGTCCAATTCTGGTGCGCACAATTCAAGAAAGAGGTTGATAAATTGGAGGGTCCAGAGAAGAGCCACAAGCGCCGTTAAAGGAGTGGAACGCAGGCCTTATAGTGATAAACAGGTTGAGCTCCTGGAGTCTAACTTATCAAAGAGAAGGTGAAGGGGTAACTTGATCCCAGGGTATAAGTACCTAAAGAGGGAACAACATTTTGATACCAGAGGGTCTGCAATCTAGCAGACAAAGGTCTAGCAAAATCCAGTGGCTGGAAACTGAAGCTAAACCAATTCAGACTGGAATTCTAATCCCAGGGTTGCTCCAGCAGGCCAGGGGCAGGGCTCAGGATTAGAACTTGAGTCCCTCAGTTCCCAGTCTCCTGCTCTGTTCTCCCGGTAGCTCCCAAGAGTCTGCTGTCGGCCTAGACTGGCCTCTAGCTGCCTCCTTAACTCACCCCGTCTGCCCTAAGCACATCAGACCAGCCGGTGCTCTCCCATCCCATACAACAGGGGGAGATGTTTGGAATGGGGGGCTGGTGCTCCACATTCCCCCCTTTTAAGGGGAGGATATAATTAGTTCCTTTAACAATATTTATCCAGGAGGGTTGTTTGGGCCTTAACACATTACTCTGCTCAGTGGCCTGGCTGAATTTGACAAGGCAGCTCACTGCACACACAAAGCCCTAGGTCTTCACTGGGCTGGGAAGAATGATACTGATTATACAAAGCTAATCAGTGGGACAAGTCAAATATCCTGCCAAGTGTTTTAGCAGCTCACAGTAAGCAGACCCAGGGGCTTGAACGTGCCTGGGTATTTTAGAAGGGAAATATCACCCGACATTCACTGCCCCCTGCTGGGGTGTGTGTGTACTACTGCCATCTGATGGCTAGAATCAGAACTTCCCAGCTGTGGGTGCTATATGGCTAACTGCGAATGGGAATTTCCTTTAGATCCAGGCCTAGGCTTTTGGAGGAGGGGTTGTAGGTTCATCAGCTTTTGTGTTCTGCTCTCAGAGTCCTGACCCACCCCCTGGCGCCGGCTCCCCATAAACAGCATGTTCTTTGTTGGGGGCCTCCCGCTCAACACAGCTCCTAAGGCAGAGTGGAAAGGAACTGGTTAGCTGGTCCGTTGGGATGCAGAGAGATAAGTGCTGACTTCCTAACGGTGCTGTGCACTTCCTTTTGACAAGGCTGTTTATTAATAATAAATACCTGGCTGTTGAGTAGCATTGTCACCCGGGCTCGCAAAGTGCTCGAACAACAAAGCCGGGCCAACCTCCTCTGGAGGGTAGGCACTTTTATCCTCCTCTTACAAAGGGCCCTAGGGAGGGGATGCAAATTGCTGAAGGACGCAGAATGAGTCAGGGGCCAGCTCAGGACTAGAAAGCAGAAAACCCACTCTGTGGTTCCCTGCTTAACCTGTACCCCCCATGCCCCTCCCAGAGCAGGGACCGGGACCCAGGAGTCCTGCCTCCCCATCTCCTGCTCTAATCAGTAGTCAATATCCACAGAGCAGGTAATAGAACCGCTAGCATCCTGAGTCCCGGGCCTCCCCTGCTCTAACCACTAGCCCGCATTGCCTCCCTGTAAGATACAGAGATATTAAAAGCTTTGCAAACAACAAAAAAGAACAAACCACCACCAGCAAACTCCACACACTTGTCCTTTTTAAGCAGAGGGGACTGCATGTCCTCAAAGGCCCATCTGCCTCTGCTACCCCAGAGAAAATAAAGCAGTCCTGACACACCACCACTGTAATCCCACTTAAGGTGGCTAAAACAGGGCTTTCGCTCTGCCACACAGTCTCTAAATTTAATGCAAACTTGTCAAGTGCAATCAAGTCAGTGCTGCGGGGTAATCTGCGCTCAGTCCCCTTAGCACCTGCACCGTGGTGATTTGACAGAACAGATGTACCAAGGTCCTCCATGCCCCAGCTGAAAGGGAGCAAGTGGGAGCAGTGAGGCAGGAAATGTACAAGACACAGGTCAGAGCCTGCAGCAGAAATCTTGGGCCTGAATGGATGCTACCTTGCAGTTATTTACCCTACTGCAAAGTGAATGAAAAGCACTTACAGCAGAATGCGAGCATTTTACATCTACTTTGCCAAGGAACAGAATCCAGGCCTGGATTGCGCTTGGCTTGTCACTTCCAGGCAGTGGACAGCAGGTCTGGACTCCTGGGTTCTCTCTCTCGCTCTGCCACTCACGCTCATCTCTCTGTACCCCTCTTTAAAAACAGGGACTGTAATACAGATCTACCGCCCAGGCACACTGCCAGGCGTAAACTCATTAGCATTTGTAAGAGAAGAGATGCTTGAAATAGATAAATAAAGCTATGGATGTTCCAACTTTTTACTGGCACAGTGTTTTACCCTGGATAGGTTTTCTATTCAGCTTATGATGCTTTCAGATACAGACCCACCCACCACGGTAATTTTGCGGTTGAGTTTTCCGAGACGTTAAGCAAGTGGGCACTGAATGGTAGCAGCAATCCAAAACTGTGTGTGGGAGTAAAGTGCTTTTTTAATGGTGCCTTATGGAGTCAGATGCTAAGACTCCAAAGCGAATCCTACAGAGGACAGAACGCCTACGCAAAAAGTAGGTCAGTGCCAAAAAACCACCCATCAACCCAACCCACAAAAAGCCTTTCCCTCCGTGCTTATCGCAAGAGACACGCTGCTCTTTTCTAAAGGGCAGTATGTGTTAAAGGCAAAGAGAGACACTGCTCCAATCAGAACAAATCCTCTTGGAAGACAAGTACAAAATATCCAGTTGGGTGGCTGAGGGCATTTCAAGAAAGGACAGATGGGAAATTCCAGACCCTTCACCAGCAGAGATGAGCTGGAAACATGCAGTGGCCCCGATTCTGATCTTGGCTATACCAATGTCGAACGGCAGTAACTCCACTGAAGTCACTGTCATGTACAACGGAGAGCAGAATTTGACTCGGTGAGTTTAAGTAGGGCCCTGTTGCGTGCCATCAGAGTTCTCCAGGGCAGGAATAGCAGGCAGTGAAATTAAGAGCTTGTCAGGACTTGAAATGCAACAGCAGAACAGCTGTAGCACTTCAGTGTAGACACTACCTATGCTGACAGGAGGGGTCTCCTATCAGCATAGATAATCCACCCCCCTAGCCGACCCCAGAGCAAAAGACAGCCAGGCCTGCATGGAACATGACCGCTGAAATAGTAGAGGTGTTTAAACGTACACTGCAATTCTAAATCACCATCTTCTCAAAGGGCTGTTAAAATGAGGGCTTATCTATCAGAGTTCAATTACCGGTTAGATAGCACCCTTCAAACTGAGGAGCCCAAAGCATTTCAGAAATAGTAGCTAAGCGGCACAAATATGCAACTCTCAGAGTGACCAGTGAGGAGATACACAGATAGCTTCGCTGTGCCAAAGGTCATGACAAGTCAGCCCAAGAATGCAGGAGTCCTGGGTCCCCGCCTTCTGTAGCCCACTGCATGAAGTAAACACTACAACAGGAAAAGGGAGGGTGGGTGGGGGTTCTTTCCTCTGTATCCTGAAGCCAAATTGCAGGATATAGTGTCACATCAACTGGATATGCGGTCTCTTAGCTGGAGCAGGGACCTGGGATTCCAGACTCCTGGGTTTTATTTTTGGTTCTGCCACTGGCCTTGCTGTGATTTTGGGCCAGTCACTTACAACAGTTTTAAGTTTCGGTTTCCCGCATTGTCAAAATGGATCTAACACTCCTTTCCCCACAGGGGTTTGAAAGGCTTAAATAATGCTCCCAGAAGGGCTTGGAGATCCTTAAAGGATCTACGGAACTTTGGCTATCACGTCAGCACAAGGCAAGTTGCTTTGATTTACTGAAGAGCATGACATACACATCTATCCTAGTGCGACAGCAAATACAAGATTAAGGAAGCAAAAAGGTTATTGTTCAACATTTATTTCTTTTTTTTTTTGTTCCCACCACAGGGTGAAGAAACCTGAAAGTTACAAAGGTCCAAGTCACATTTCACGAGACAGATGGAAATAAGAAAACAAGTTTAAATATCATGCCCATTCTAAATACAAAGGAAAAAAAGAAATCAAATAATGAAAAATATAGCGTAGCGTGATCTTTTGCAGATATATTTTTACAAACTGAAGACCAAAAGCTCCTTATGTTATGCCTAAATCTACTTAAGTTTTGTGTATAAAACCAGATATTTCAAAAATGTTTCCCCCTTGTTTTATATATTTTTTTTGCAATTCTGAAAAAAAAGTTTACAAAAACAAAACAAAAAAATCCAAGTCTTGTAAATTTCTAAATTTTTTTTTTTTGCTTGTACATTATGAACAAACGGATTCAACTCTCTTGATCGCTTACATCTTACTAAGATAGGTTTATAACATCTCCCCGTGTCCTAGCCACTACAAACAGGAGTAGGAAAAAAAAACAAACCTAGAGTCTACTCTAATACACTGTGTGAGCGGATATCAGCCGCCAACGAGTTAAGCCCGCTCGCCGCGGATACGACGTGCCAGCTGGATGTCTTTTGGCATGATGGTGACTCTTTTGGCGTGGATTGCACACAAGTTGGTGTCTTCAAAGAGACCCACGAGATAAGCCTCACTGGCTTCCTACCAAGGAAAAACCACAACAGAAGTAACAGCTCCATTTGTTTCGCAACAGTCTCTTTAGGAGGCATCAAAATGCTCCCATTGTACCGAGGGCCAGATTTTTCCTACTGCTCTGTGCTGTTTATTTGGCCGTTTATTCTGATGTCTAAGGGGGGGCTGAGTGCTCTTGAAAAACTGGCCCTACATGCTTAGCACCTACCCAGCTGCGTGTGCCTCAAGGGCTTCCCAAGTGTCAGTTGAACCCCACTTGGCAGGTGAGGAAACCAATTCAGAGCCCCCAAATCCGCACCCCACCCATTTACACTAGCGAGCCGCACAGTCTCAAACGTGGCAGCTCTTTCTAACGCTACATGCTCAACACCCCCACGCCAGCGGCTTTGAGACGTGGATGCTTTCTCCTGCCACGAGTGAGTGGATTAAGAGCACAGTCATGATAAGCATGTTTTGTCCCCATGGAACTCTAAGCACTTTAGGGAGCACTTATTGACAGAGAAGCTGAGCACTGCAGCAGCCACTGATGTCAGTGTCTTCCCTCTGCCTGTACACACACATCACTGGGATGCAGTCGCCTCTCGGGGCGAAAGCAGTAATCTATGGACATCAACGGGGCATTTAGATTCTACATTCTGAAGCCAGAGGCTCTGAGCAGCAGAGGTATGTTCTGCAGGTCACTCTCGAGATGAGCCCATGCCTCGATCTTTAGTTTCTACCGATTTGATGAGTGCAAAGCAGGTCGGGCTCACTCTTTGAAAGGTACTTCCCAACTATCTGGGGGCAAGTTAGATAGGTTTCATTCTATCTGCCCAGCAGGGAAGAGAGACAAAGTCGCCTACCTGCAGGGCTCCGATGGCAGCACTCTGGAACCGCAGATCCGTCTTGAAGTCCTGAGCGATTTCACGGACCAGACGCTGGAACGGGAGTTTGCGAATCAGCAGCTCAGTGGATTTCTGGTACCGCCGGATCTCTCGAAGGGCCACAGTGCCAGGCCTGGAAGAGATTTCAAAGACAAGGGCTCAGAATTTAACCCCCATGCTCCCAACCACGCTCAGACATCAGAGTGCCAAGGACTGCAGACAGAACTCCCTTCTCCTCTGTAAGCGTCTCAGGTGTATCCAGGAGGGGTTTTGTGTACACGTACACACACACACCCCCATAGAAGAAGCCTGCCCTGCCACAGTCTCTGGGGACAAAGAGGACTCCATGGTTGTTAAGCTGGCCTATTGCACTGCTGTTAATTTCACCAACTTTCCTGTTAAAAAACAAAACGCAGTATTTAAAGGGGATCAACAACGTTGACAGCCCCTAATATTAGACCGCGGGTACGTCTAAGCTTTTTTTCTTTTAAGTGGCTTTTTAAGAACTTTAGCAGCTCCTTCCAAACAAGGACTGGAACAAGGATGAAATCTCAACCTTTGTGCAGGTGCCCTATCAAACATGTGTTGCTGAGCTGGCTACAAGTGCCTTTGTATGCATGTGTTTGTCCCTTCTGTTTTAATAAGCCAGCCGAAAGGATAATATTTTATAAAACTATTCACTACAAATCATTATTTATTATTTTTAATTACAGTAGCCACTCGTAACCCTGATCTCAGTCGAGGCCTCTTTGGGCTCAGCCCCATATGTACCCATCGGGAGAGACTATCCCTGCTCTGAAGAGCTTACATGCTAAGCAGATGAGCCTGGCAAAGGATGAGGGGAAACTGAGGCACAGAGAAGGGAAGTGACTTCCCCAAGGTCACATCAGCAGGTCAGTGGCATAACTGGCAAAAAGAACTCCAACTCAGGAGTCTGAATCCCTAACTACTAGCCCATGCTCCCTCAGACATAGTACATAAAAATTAAGGCTATGATATATATCATGTTATTTTTTTCTTACGATTGCAAAACTCCCCTTTATGTCTCCCACGCACACCAGAAGAGAATGCGTGACTCCAAGTACCTGTAACGATGAGGTTTCTTCACTCCCCCAGTGGAGGGCGCACTTTTCCTGGCTGCTTTGGTGGCCAGTTGCTTCCGGGGGGCTTTCCCACCAGTGGATTTACGAGCGGTCTGCTTGGTACGGGCCATTCTGGATGGTCTTTAGTGCGGAAGAAATCTGCTGGAAAAAAAAAAGAGGGGAAGGGGAAGAAATCAGTTTAACCTTTTCAAGAACAGCTTGACCTGGGGTCGCGTCCCATCACTCCCTGTGTGACCTACAAGTCACTAAGGCAATATGGTTCCCTACTGGTAAAATGGAGCTAGTCACATGGTTCTGTCTTCCCAGGGTGTTGGGAGGAGGAATATATTGATGACTGAGATGTTCAGATGCTATGGTAACCCTAGAGGTCGCCATATAAATGTTTAGGAACATTTCCGGCACTATATTGGGGGGGGAGAAATAGTACCAGAAAATCCCTGAAAAGCTTTTGTTAATTCCACAGCTGCTCACTCCGAATTACTTCGTTTATAACTAGAGTGTCACAGATGAACCTGTGTTTTGTTTCTGCTGTAATATAAAATGATCATTTCAGTCAGTAACCTGATTTGCCCAGCATGGAAGAGGAGGAGAAGTGTTGTTTTCCCAGCTCTGGAGGAGGAGGGGGTCTAGTGGTTAGAACTAGGAGCCAGGACTCCTGGGTTCTATTCCCAGAGTGGGAAGGCAGCAGGATCCAGTGATTACATTAGGAAGTGGGTCTGAGAGCCAGGACTCCTTCTGGGCTCTAGTCCCAGGTCTGGCAAAGGACTAGGGTCTAGTGGATTGAGGAGGGAGGGATTTACGGTCAGGATTCCTGGGTTCTTTTCCTCTCCTCCCTCTGCAGTTGCCAGTTTTTGCACAGACCCACAGGTGACAGTTCCCAACAGTAAGAAAAAGTCACCGATTTCCCCCGAGGTTCTCCGCCGATCAGTGGCACCAGTTGCGGGGAGGAAGGAACCTGCTGCCCCGATCGCTCAGAAACAGGGCAGGGAGACATGTAGGGCTGGGGAAGTGAACGCAGCAGAGGGAGCCAGCTGGGAATGGCCTGAGTGAGAGTCTGGAAAAGGGATCGTTGTGGGGAGGAGAGTGTGGAGGGTCATCCTGGCTGGGAGCGAACATGCAGTGGGGGGGAAAGGTTACAAAAAGCAAGGGGCCATCAGCCGTTCATGGAGCGGAGGCTGCTCTGGGACCGAAACGAGCAATATCCCTGCAAAGGAGAGATCTGGCCTCAGAGCCGGCTCGGTGCCACGTGAGACCCCGCCGAGGTGCCAGTTCCACACCAGCGCCATCACGATGGGCACCAGGCCGAAGCCACTGCCATGGCGGCAACCAGGTGCCATGGCGATGGAGCCAAGGGCAATAGGAACCCTACACCAAATTGCACCATGGCGTCCCACCTCCATGGCCAATACGGCAGCCCCTGTAGAGCCACCAGAGTCTGCTTTAAAGAGAACCCAGGAGTCCTAGCTCCCAGTCCCCGCCCCAGTTTGCCCCCTTTATCCACATAAAGTGGTTTTTTTTAAAGAAAGACTACATCTTCCAGAAGCCTTTGCGCCAAGTCTGGGTTTGATTGGCTAACTAAAGTCAGGTGACCTTCCCCAGGCTAACCGAGGCTTTCTCCCGATTGGCCAGCGTCGCCAGCCAACCGGTATGTAACCTGACAAGAGGGGGGTAGAGCCGCGAAGCCTCCTCGGTGATTGACGCGGCTCATGACCAATCGACCTCGGGGCTGCCTCAGGGGCTTCCAGCCAATCAGCGCGGCCACCGTGCTCTCGCATCGCCCGACCAATGAGCTGCAGGATACAGACGGAAGGCGGGACTTACTTGGTGGAAGGGGCTCCTCAGACGATCTCGGTTTCTACTCACCCCCCCCTTTTTTTTCGAACAAGGGGGGAGGGGGAAGCCCGGGTACGGGGGTGTCTCGCGCCTCCTTGTTACCTGTGTGTGTGGCTCGCGCCCCTCACTGCAGCGACCGTTGGAGCCGTTGGGAGTCCCGGCCGGCGCTCGCGCTGCTCTCGCTCCCTTCCCGCCTTTCCCGCCAGCCCCAGCAGAAAATGGCGGGTTCCCCGGCTGGGCTATTTAACCATCATGCAATGGGGCAGAGGGGAGGGGAGGGGAGGTCAGCTGAGGTGAACCTGGCTGTGTGGGCGCCATCTTGTGAGCGCCACCCAGGCTGCTCCTGCCTCCCCCCAGTCACAGGGCTGGCAATGGGGAGCCTTCCTTTAACCACAGACCCTACTGCATTTTATGCCCCTTGCATGAGTTACGTTAAGACCTCCCTCGAGTCCGGCTAAACCCTTGGCATGGGTCGTGCCAATCTTGCCTATGTGTAACGTAAAATCTCTGGCACAAAGTCACGCCAAGTGCCCCCCCCCACGTGCGTCACCAAACCATGCCTACGTGTAACACGCCAAAGCCCTGGAACGCATCATGCCAACCTCGCCTACATGTAACACTGTAAACCTCAGTTACAAGTCACGCCAAGCGCCCCCCAGCATGCATCTTGCCAACCTTGCCTACATGTAACATGCGAAACCCCTGGCACATGTCACACCAAGTGCCTCCCCCACGTGTGTCATGCCAACCTTCCCTACATGTAACATGCTAACCCCTCCCCCTGCATATTCACACCAACCTTTCTAATATATAACATGTCAAGGCCCTTGCAGAAGCTTTGGCAACGCCTTCCAGTGCACAAATTATATCAAGCCCTTTGCACTAGCCATATGAACCTCCCCGATGCCAACTAGCCACAAATGTCACTATAAAACAAGTCACATCTACCCCCTGCACGAGCCATGACCAGTGGGGTTGACACCCATGTAACGTCACTGGCCTATCACCAGTCACGTCAAGCAGGGCTGGTGCAAATTTTACATCAGCCACTGCCAACGTTATGCCAGCCTTCCCTATCACATCAACTGGTGCTGATGCCAAAATCACATTATATGAGTACCTAGACAGCTAGGTGCTTTAGAGAGGATAATTAACTAGTCACTGCCACCCTATTATCTCAGGTAAGAGGCCTCCTGTATATGGTACCCTTGGACATGTTTTTGGATAGTACTTCACTTTTCCCATACGCTCGGCTCTCTCTCTTTGAGCAGAAAATACTATTGACACGTGATCCACCTCAAAGAATATGCCAACACGTGATGGCATGGTTAAAGACTGGGGAAATTTGGCCGGGTAGGGAAATCATTACAGCCTTTAGAAATGGACTGAGGTCTTTTCCAGTGGCCTATGGGGAAAAAGAGTTGATGGTTTCACCGACTGCTAGCTGGAGAAGTGTCCGCATTGTGACCGTCCCCTCACTGAGGCTCAGTAACAAGGGGTAAAGGGAGAATGGGCTGTGAAGACTGACTTCTCCTCTAACCCTTAGTACTTGTCCCTCCAGGGCTGTGGTGAGGTTGTTCACCCTGCCACTGCCCGGGCAGTACTGGTTCTGGGGATAAACACAGCGCTTTAGGCTGCAAGGCTGTCAAGCTGGTACCATTCTTAAGCAATAAGTTAACTATCCAAAAAATACTGCATAACTGAAGGTCCGTAAACTTTGACACCCACAGGGGCAGTTTGTAGGACACACAAGAATTTACTTTGGGTCATGGGGAAATCTTCAGTCTTAAGGCCCAATCCTGCAGCCATGTTTAACTTTGCTGCCATGAGCAGTCCTCTCAACTTCAACTACTAGTTGCTTTAGTGAAGCATTTGCAAGATGGGGGCCTTGGAAGCATGATCAGAGGAATGTAGGGTTGTAAAGAACCTTAAGAGGTCATATCTAGCCCACCCACCTGCAAAGTAGATTGAATTATACCTAGAACATCCCTGACAGGGATTTGTCCAACCTATTCTTAAAAACCCTCCAGTGATGGTGACTCCACAACCTCCCTGGGTCACCTGCTCCGGTGCCTAACTATGCTTAGCATTAGAAAGTTTGCCCTAGTATCCAATGTGACTCTCCCTTGCTACAAATTAAGCCAATTACTTCTTGTCCTACCCTCAGTGGTTATGAAGAACAATGGATCACTTTCAAAAGATGTTCAACTGTAGATGGTGTGAAACATAAGTAAGCTCTTTGGGGTACGAATATCTCCTACTGTGTGAATGTGAAATGCTCAACGTAACGGGGCCCTGTTCTTGGGCAGCCCATCCAGCTGGGCCTCCATTTGCACTTGGATAACCCACAAAGCTCAGCCTACATTAACAACAAAACGTGCAGCCTTCTTGTAATAATTTCTAAGGGGTCACCCGTACAAACTCAATTACAGCAGAGGATGGAGGGGAGCGGCTGCGTGATCCAGTTCTGCTCATACTGGACTAAGGCCCACTGTTACTAGACAACTCAAAACTCACTCTGATGCCTCATTCTTCAAAGATATAGGAGTCCTAAATGCAGGGTCCATCTCTCCCTGAGTGTTTCTACAGGAGCCCAGCACAGTTGGGCAAATGATGCTGCCTGGGCTCCCCAGGGCACTACCCCAATAGAAATAAACCATGAATTCCTAGATTTGTCCTGCAAGGATATTCAGAAAACCACCACCAGGAAATTGCTAATTTATACTACTTGCATTTATCATTGTGGGCACCAGAGGGCACAGTTGTATCTCTTCACCCTCACCAGAGTTGCTTAAAAAAAAAAAAAGTACTAAAATGTATATTTAGACAAAGTACTAAATGTAGTTTAATCAATTTTTAAAAAAAAAATTTTTTTTTCCTTTATATCCCCCCCCCCCCCCCCCCCCCCCCCCAACTCTTGGAAAACTACAAACCCTACTGAAATTTGACCTCAGCTGCTCCTGGCAAGGTAGATATTACAGATGAGGAATGGGAGAGAGAGGTGATGTCACAATACAAGTCTGGCATAAGTGGGACTAGAACCTGTTTTAGGCCTGAACCACAAGACCACCGTTTTTCCTTTTAAGACCTCTTTTTAAAAAGGAGAGTTCTGATTGACAATAGATCTGAATTAAGACCACCCCCAAGGTGCATTATCTTAAACTATTTTCATATTGGAGACATTGGTGATGTGAGAGAAATCATTTACAACTAGCTCCACTCTACTGGAAATCTGGGGGCTCTGAGCTAATCCCTAAGCACTACAGAGATGGTCATGGGTTCCTAGGCTCCATATTAAATCAGGTCAATTGTGGAAGAACAAAAACAGGCTTGTTGGATTAAAGGGTAAAATTATTACAAAAAGCAGCGTTTGGAGAGGTAAGGAGAGGGCATCAAGTTGCTCTGACCTTCCATTGCCATGACTTTAAATAAGTCTCACCCTATGCACCAGAGACCTCTCTTACTGGCCTGGTCTCACCAGACAGAGGATTTACTCCTTTACTGGTTACTTACAAGAGTTGTTTCATAATAGGTACAAATTACAGGGGTAACTTGGGCCAAGCTGATTAATTTTTCTTTTAAATGGAGGTTTATTTTAGCATTCATGAAAAGGAGACTAAGAACATATTGGCAGATGTGCACACAGCTCATGTACTCCAGTCCCCATTTACAACCATCTCTGCTAGTACACCTCCCACTCTCGATCCCAGCTCTGCCCTGCTCCACAATCTTAACTTGCAGCACCCTATGCTACCATAGCCTGAAGCAGAGAGGGGTGAAAGAGTAAATACAGAATTGGCCTGCAAATGCCACCAGTTTTCCTTTGTTTCAAGGTTTGGAGGACTGTGGCTTAAAGCCATTGTAACAAGACCCTGGAGATGTGGCAGGAGGAGAATTTTGATGTCACAAAAAGCAAGGTCCCGCCTGCTTTAGAAGTATCCACTGCCTAGCTGGGACATCTCAATATGAGCCCCACTACTGAGGTTGCAAAGAAGTCTGGAAAGATGAAAGGCTGCATCAGGCTTGCTGGAGTGGAGTGTGTAGATGGAAGGAGCTTGATAGGTTTGGATATAGGACCTGCAATGCTGCTTTCATGATATTCACGCTGCAATGAAGCATTAGACCACTCGCCACTTGTTTCGGAGTACTGGTATAGAAGAATTATACCCCATATTGCAAGGGAACGGAGAGTCTGCTTTTGCTGTGTGTTTGGTCAGTTAGCAAGCACTAGAAAGAAGCCACTACACAACCAGTTTATGACTTTCATTATTTTATTTGACAGACACCTTTCTGAAGTGCAACAAAAGTTAATCATACAACAACAACAAAAACCCAGAAAGACAGTTTTGTAACACTAGGTGATTCTAGAAGGAGGAAGTGCATTATCACGATTCAGAAATACCCAGATTCAGAGGTTATGTTTTGTGAGCAAACTCCACTGCCTAGCTGGGACATCTCAATGCGATTTGTCAGGACTGCATCAAGGTTCTGCAGAAGAGGGGGAAACTGTTTCGACACCAGTTTAAGAAAATGTTGGGAGTTTATAAAAATCCTGAGTTCAAATTAAAACAGACTATTGAGTCATTTGTTAAAACATTTTATCTCATTTCCCGCCCAGTTCCCCCCATACCCGACAATGAGCTGCTAATTCTTCTTCCCACACTGATGGGATTCCCAGATGGCGACCCTCCCTTACTTGACAGCCTTCATTCCAGCAACCTCAGATGAAGAGCTTGTTGTTGGGATATCAGCACTAGATTTCTCTGTAAGGTTGAACAGTGAAACTCACTCAAGAATTACTCAAAGTTAGAGGCACCTTAATGGCACATTAGAGGGGCCGTTTCAACTCTAGACAGGCATTGCGTACAAATATAAAGCATGCCAAAGCACACAGCTGGATCCTCATCTGCCTTTGTTCAAACCGGCATCCTGCGCAAAAACTTCTGGGAACGGCCACGCGTCAGGGGACATTTCGGCAACTCCCGTCATCAAGCGCTCGGCCGAGTTGAACCAAGCAAATGCTCATCAAGCTAGAGGAAGAGAAGGAATGTATATCGTCAACGAACTAGAAATTTAAAAATAAAACTGGACTAGGTGCAAAGAAGGGCTACTAGGATGATCAGGAGGCTGGAGAGCCCATCCTAGGAGAGGAGATGGAAAGAACTTGGCTTGTTTAGCCTAGCCAAGTGAAGGCTGAGAGGGGAAAAATCTGATTCCCCACCACATCC